GACCACAGTGATCTAAAGGGAGGAAAGATGAGCAGGTAGCCTCCAAGGATGTAGCTTGACTCGTAAAACTGGAAAAAGCCAAGGGCTGGTGAAGAGAAGGCTGCAGCTAGCCATCACAATGGACACACGGGTCTGTCACCCGGTTTCTAGACCTGAGGCAGTTCTTGGACCCAGAGTCTGTTGTTTGAAGGGGAGACGGAGTCCCCTCATGGAAGAGAAGAGACCTGAAGATGGTAGCCAGTAAATATAATAACAGTTCCCTCCAGTGGTTCCCCAAGGAACTGGTGACCACTTCCCATATGGTTCCCATGGAACCATATGCTGTAGGAAGGGGATCAGCCTGTTCTTTTCAGCTCCTCCAGTAGCTGATGGCGGAGGATGGATGCTTGGGCCTGGTTAGTAGATGGGTCAGCATGAGACAGGGCTGTGAGCCATAGCGAACCGTGGACGTACTGCAGCCCCACTCAAGTGACAATGACAGCGGGAGGTCCTCCAGCGGGCAGAGCTGCTGTGGTGCATGTGGTCGGGTAAGTCGGGCAGAGGAGAGGGCGGCTGAGTGAGAAGTACACCTGGGCTCGGGGCTGGCCGCCAAGGGCTGGATGGAAACCTGGGGAGGAGGCTGGTGGAGAGACTTGTTAATACGTTCAGAACGCGAGGATCTCTGTAGCTCTCTTTGCAGCCCACCTGAGGCCGTCCACGACAGAGCAGGAACTCTATGACCAGGGGGACAGGAGGGCTTTCTAGGGATGCAGCTGCCCTAGCAGATTTTATTCACATCTGTCTAGAATATAAGCTGTGTAATGTCAGAGACTTCTGTGTGTTCTCTTCTCCGCTATCATCCTTACGACACCGAACAGACCTGGGTGCACAGTAGATGGCCAATAACCTTTTGTCCAAGGAATGACTACAATATGCATGAATCAAGTTCTTGACCTATCTGAATCTTTACGGAGCTAGCTTCCTAGAAGTACATGGATCAGATAAGGGATTACTCTAAAGTTTGCATTTTATTTTAGCAAATTTGTTTCAAGTACTGATCCATGCTTACCTGGCTATTAAGATGTTCTGGAACTTGCGACATATGGTACAACTGTCTCTGTGCCGACTGGCACTTGCAACCAGAGTTTCTAAATCATCACTTCTTTCCTCAACAGCACTCGCTTGTAAATATTTTCCAGCTGCATAGGTGGGAAAATGCCCCCACACTTTGTTATTATTTATAAAACGGAACATCCATTAGCTCTTTGATTTTCTTCTGTCTGTTAATATTATTTATTCATTTTCCAATTAAGGGTTCATCCATTTTTAATGAACTCTAAACAAAAATGTTAAACACTAGTGTGAAGAATTTATTAGGTACATTTTGTTCAGTTTTATTGCTGTCCTTTAAATGTTGTAGGCATTTCTGTTCTATAGATGCTTATTTATAATGTAAGATAGCACATCTCTCAGAGTTCTAATTTGTGGCTTATGCTACTTTAGTGCTGAGAAAGTCTACCCTCTTCCGCAGAGCAATAAATACTCCTGTGTTTCTACCTCGTTTCTTCATACATACAAATCATTAATCTAAGCAGGATTTATTTTGCTGTATAATGGTGAGAATCTAAATTTGATGTATTTTTTTTTTTAGCAAGGCCATTTTTTACACTGCCTTGAATAATCTATTCCTCCCTATTTATTTGCTATTCTTCCTTTATCATATATTCTTATTTATAGGAGGTTCTGTTTCTGATCTGTGTACTCTCTTTCACTGATACTGTTGAGTCAATTATATGCTCATTGGCTTAAAAATAATGGCTTTATTGAGATGCAATTCACGTACCGTAAAATTCATCCTTTAAAAATGTACAATACAGAGATTTTGTTATGCATCCGTCATCACTATCGAATTTTAGAGCATTTTCATCATCCCCAAAAGATACCCTGTACCCATTAGCAGTTACTTCCTATTTTCCCCTCCCACCAGACTCTGGAACCACTAATCTGCCTTCCGTCTTCATGGATTTGCCTATTCTGGACCTTTTCTATAAATTAAATCACATAATATGTGGCTTTTTGTGTCTGGCTTCCTTCACTTAATAGAATGTTTCGAGGTTCATTCATACTGTCGCATGTATCTGTATGCATTCCTTGCCATTGCCAAATGCTGATCCATTGTGTGGATATACCACATTTCATTAATCCATTCACCAGTTAATGGAATTTGGGTTGTTTCTACCTTTTGATTATTATGAATAATGCTGCCGAACATTAGTGGACAAATTTTTGTGTGTGTACGTGTATGAATTGCCACTTTTTCCCAAGTGGCTGAACCATTTTAATTCCTACCTTCACCTAAAGAAATTTTGGGGGTACCTGGCTGGCTCAGTTGGTGGAGCACGCGACTCTTGATCTCGGAGTTGTGAGTTCGAGCCCTGCACTGGGTGTAGAGATTACTTAAAAAAATAAAATCTTAACAAAAATCAAATATAAAAAGATAAAAATAAATTTGTACATGTTTGGCACCTTTTTAAATTTAAAGTTTTCCTAAAACTTTTTACATTTAAATTTTCCTAAAAAAATTAAAATTTTCCCTAAAATTGATTTTTGGACTTGGTTTTATTTTATAATTCTTTAACACATATTTCAGTAAACTATTATGTTCCTGCTATTTTTTAAAATGTGTTTGTTAGCTTATTATTGAAAACGATGTATTCAAAACTGAGTTTACCTGTGCAGGATTTTAGACACTTTCCATTTTTCTCATTTTTAATATCTAAAACATTTATGATTATCTTGCATTTTCTTTGTGACTCCAGTAATTTAGGAGCACATTTTTATTTTCGAGTGGTAGTGGTGGTTGTGTGTGAGGTTATTTAAGGAATTTAAAAAAATGATTAAGTGGAAAAAAAACACAAAGCATTGAGCATGGCGCCAGGCACACAGTAGGGACACCATCAGTAACTGAATCCTTTTTTCTCCCTTCCCTCTACAGCTCTGTTCTTGGCAGTTCTTCTTGTCTCCTCTTCTAGATTCTGTGTCAATAAACTATTTGGGCCACCCTGAAATTTGTAGTTTTTATTCATATTATAATTTATAAACCACAAGGACAGATTTTTCTCCGTTCCCTTCATTCGTGTTCTCTGGAACTCAGAACCTTATTGATCTGAAGACTCAAGAAGATTTTACTTTCTTTCCTCTCCATCACTGCCACCTTTTTAAAATTCTGTGGTGGTTTATTCTGTTTTCTTCTGGAGCTAACACTGCTCATGATCTAGGATTTTGTCTTACATATCAAACTTTCATTAATTTCTTATTCATTTACCTGTCTATTCTGAGATGATATCAATAGCCTATTCTTTACATTATTTAATTTATTGCAGTGTGTTATTTCTGTTTTACTGTCTGCAATACTAATTTTAATTATATTTTTAGTCTCATAGCAGTTTTTCCTGATTGGAGTCAATGGTCTTTTCATCTTTTCTAAGTGTGTGTGTGTGTGTGTGTGTTTTAATGTGTCCTTGAATTTCTTTTTTTTGTTTTTAAGATTTATTTATTTGAGAGAGAGAGAGAGGGAGAGAGCGAATGAGCATGAGTGGGGGGAGGGGTGGAGGGAAAGGAAGAGAGAGAATCTGAAGTGGACTCCACACCCAGCACAGAGCCCAATGCAGGGCTTGATCCCAGGACCCTGAGATCATGACCCAAGCCAAAACCAAGAGTCCATGTTCAACTGACTAAGCCACCCAGGCACCTGCCCCTTGAATTTCTTTCTTTCTTTTTTTTTTTTTTACTATTATGTTCTTTTTAAAATGTGTTGTCTTTTGCATATTATTGATGAAACCAAGTTATCAGTTAGCTTTTGCTATCTTAAAAGAAATAAGCATCACAGAACTTAGTGACTTAGAACAACACACTGATTATTTCTTACTCTCCTGTAGATTAGTTGGGTGGTTCTTCTGCTCCCGCCTGGCTTGCCTGGAGTGGTTGGTCTAGGACTGGTCTGGCAGTTGGAAAGCATGCTGCAGGGCCTCAGACATGTGGTCTTCCAGCCCTGGGTTAAGCTAACCCAGGCCTCTGCATATGGCAGTCCTATGGTTCCACAGGGCAGCAAGAGGGGACAAGCACAGTTGCCCAAGCAAGCCTGTCATCTGCTAATGTCTCAATGGTTAAAGGTGAGTCCAAGGCCAGTCCAGAGTTTCCTAGGGAAAAGCACCACCAAAAGGCCAGGAAGGAGGGTGTGGAATATGTGGTCATGTTTACAAACTCCTTGTGTTTCACATTTTATTTCTTTTTTTTTTTTTTAAAGATTTTATTTATTTATTTGACAGAGAGAGAGAGAGCTAGAGCAGGAACACAAGCAGGGGGAGTGGGAGAGGGAGAGGCAGGCTTCCCGCTGAGCAGGGAGCCCAATGTGGGACTCGATCCCAGGACCCCAGGATCATGACCTGAGCCGAAGGCAGACACTTAACAACTGAGCCACCCACGCGCCCTCACATTTTATTTCTTACAATAAATCACTTTTAGAGCCATGCTCCTCTTCCAATTTATTAGGTTAATACTTTGGTGATCTTCTTGAGTGTTCTTTTCATGCTGGTTTTAGAAAGTTTGGTGATTTTTTTTTTAAATGAAGAAAGTCTTTCCAAATGGAGTATTTAGCCCATTCTGACCTCCCCCGTTTGCCTTACCTTCGGAAGGTGATATATAACAGGCGTGAGGCATGCTCTGCTCATTCCCTAACTGCCTGCCAGTGGCCGCATGGAGATACACATACTTGCTGCCATTTGTGATCTCGGTCGAGCTTTCCTTGATGTGAATACAAATCCCATTAGTCCTCTTTAAGTAGTTGTTGCTGTCTCTGGTTCTCAAAGATGGTTTGGAATTTTGCCTTTTCCTTTGTTTTCAGGCTGCTTTAATAGAGTATTACATTTTAGCTGATGCATTGTTAAACTGAGAGTCTGGGAAAGCAATACCAGTTATGAACTTTACCTTAAATAAATTATACTCACCTACATTTCTTGCAGGTTTTGTGAAGATTAAAGGTGCCGATGTACATAAAGCAGGATGCACAGCCCTTGGGCTCGGGGTCGTGTCACCTGCGTTCCTTCTCATCAAACGTGTAAGTGAAAAAATGCACAGGCGACAATCATTACAGTTTAAGCACAGACTTCAGACTGTTGAGCGGGAGTTTCACGGAGATGCTATAAGGGCACAGGGGTTAAGTGAGACCCTGGCAGGCGGCGGGCACCCCAGTTGGGCAGTGCTGCCAAAGAAGGGATGGACAGGGCTCGGCTATCAGATAGGGAGTTGGACAGATGACTTTTCAGGTTCCTGCTCAACTTGTGATTTTCTGCTTCTAAAAAAGAAAACATTAGGCAAATTATCCAGTGTTATAGTCATTTCATATACAGCAATGATTTTTATTAACTTTTTCTGCTGAGAAGACATCATTCGGATTCAGGAAGTCTGAGTGAGGCCAAGGATATGTTATTACAAATATCCCGATGGAGGTGGGCTGCATCAGATAGGTGTGAGAGATGCTAGCACAGAGAAAAAGCTCAGGCTAACTGGAATCAGGTGGCTGGGGTCTGAGCTGAGCTCAACCGCTTACTAGCTGTATAACCGACCTGTTACATAATCCACCTCTACCATCCAATATGTGCTCCAGAAATATTTGTTGAGTCGATGAACTTACCTCTGTTGCCTTACCTTTAAGATCAAGGTCTTGAAAAGCACCTGCCATTGGTACCATGCGCGTTAAATGGAGTAGGGGATGCACGTTGACATGTATGTGTGGCTCGAAAGAGGGTGACTCCTCTGTTTGCTGCCCATTGATTTCATAGATATGTTATTGTTTGAAGCAATAAATATTAGAGGGTTTCTGGCATGAATCAGAGTCCAATTAGCCCTTTGCCTCTTGAGATGGTCAAGGATGACTTTTGTCGCACAAACACATCGATACTGTTTATTAGAGCCCTGATCCAAAGAGAGACGTCATAATTAGGCCATAGCAACCAGTCCCAACAGTAAGTTGTTCAGTGTGAAGATGATTCTGGGTAGATTTGGGTGTAGGAATGACATCATAGCCCCCACTGTGGGCACTGTGGGTTGTATTTATTGCTTTTAGGCCAAGGTTTTATCAACAGTAAGTTGTTCAGTGTGAAGATGATTCTGGGTAGATTTGGGTGTAGGAATGACATCATTGCCCCCACTGTGGGTTGTATTTATTGCTTTTAGGCCAAGGTTTTATTTCTCTGTGAAAATGTCATTTATTCAACAAATTAGGATTTATAGGATAACTGATTAGGCAGTAAAACTACTTCCACCATTAACAGTAACACATCCTGGAAATACGAGCAAGGGCCTGTTGGCAATAGTTTAAGATTAAGATAAAATTTTTACAACTGGCAATTGGAAAATATATAAAAGCGTAAGCAAAGTATATTACCTGGAGCCTCACAGAGTTGAGGATATTCTGCAAATGTGAAGTATAAATATTTGAAAATATCCTTACGGCACAAAAAGCCTCTGGTGGAGGCTCTCTGGTGTTGTGGAAATGGATTGATGTGTATAAAACTGCTCTACTCATGAATTTCCATTTCTCCTTTATTCATGATCCAGACATTTCTGTGTAGACATAATCATCTGACACGAGATCAGGAAGGGAATTTACAGGTCCAACAACCCAAGGATGACGGATGGGAGCTGTGCATGCCTCCACTCCCCGGTTTCTGCTCCTGGCAGACATTACTGATCCAACTCATGGCTCTTTCCAGTTGCGTCTGTCTGGTCACGGAACTCTCGAACACGGGACTCCTGGAAGTCATTAGGGGCTGAGTCAAGTTGGAATGGACATGCAAGTGTTTGGCTGCCCCCTATTTAGATTATAATACGGGTGTTAGTGGCAGATCCGGATTTCAATTCTAGGTCTTGATCTTCCCACTGGGAGCCACTGTCCTAAGCGCATGGGTGTGGGGGTGTCATAGGCCAGTGGGGGGGCCGTGAGGTAGGGGCCCTTTCCTTGTACCGCCAGCGATGGCTCTGGATCCGTCCTGTGGTGTGGCTTCGAACAAATCACTTCCCATTTCTGGGCCTGTAAGGTTTATGCCTATGAAGTTAGGGATAATGATCTATCTCCTAGGGCTTTTATGAGCATCAAAGGAGATAATGGGTGTGAGCGTGTCTCCCACGTTTTGAATGTAGGTGAGTTTATGCTGGTACAATAAAATGTCGCTTCCTAGAATCTGCGGGCAGCCTTTTTTCCAGGCATCTGAGGAATTATCCTTCTAAGTGCCGGATATTTTATTTTGAGCATTTTAGATGGAAGTTGCTCTATAATGGGTTACACACTTTACTGATCTTTTAAGCAGAATACAATAAACAGAATTTGATCTTTTGGATGACTCACTGGCATTAAGAAAATTAACTTTCATAAGACAATCCCTGAGGACTTACCAAGGCATGCTGGAACGCTGGTCCCCCACTGACTGGTGCTGAGCGCCTGTGGCTTTTGTGACTTCTTGTGTCCCCTCTTAATGAATTTGTTCAGCCTTCTCTTCTCAACTGCTGTTTCTTTCCCTCCCAATCCCACATCTCCCAGGAAAGGAGCGTCTCTCTCTCTCTCTCTCTCTCCTTAATTGCTTTTTCTACCTTGCTGTGGATCAGTTAGATAATCAAGTCTTAGACCAAATCAGATCATGGCCATAATACCAACACTGACGTTTTCGGGGCGCTGACACACGCCAGATCTCCTTGTAACAACCAGGTGCACAAGGTGAAAGCTGGAAGTCATCCTGCCCCCACTCTGTCTTCCACCACGCGGCCAATCCTGTTGGCCCTACACTCAAGGCGTGTCTGGAATGTGGCAACTTCTTACCACCCCCTCAGCTACCGCTTGGTCCGAGCCATCACTGCTGCCCACCTGGCCGCCCACCTGGCCTCGCTGCCTCTGGGCTTGGTCTCGACATAGCAGCCAGTGTGACCGTTAAGACATAAATCAGTTCCTGTTACACCCCGGCTCCAACATGGGTAACATTCCCCACCTTGCACTCAGAGCACCAGTCAAGGTCCTCTCCGTGGTTTCCTAAGCTTGGAAGCTCTGCCCTCATTACTTCTCTCCTCCTGTCCTATGGCTCCATCAATAGCAGCCATGTTTGCCTCTTTTTTTTTTACTTCAGTCTCACGCATCTCATTCAGACCTCAGGGCCTTTGCACTTGCTGTGTGCTCTGCTTGGAGCGCTGTCCCCAAGGTCCCTCACTCCCGTTCTTCAGGTCTCTGTTCAGAGGCCTCCCTTGACCATCCCAGTTAAAATTATAGTTCCCTCCACATCTGGTGTTTGGAAACAGATTGATGTGTATAAAACTGCTCTATTCATGAATTTCCATTTCTCCTTTATTCATGATCCAGACATTTCTGTGTAGACATAATCATCTGACACGAGATCAGGAAGGGAATTTACAGGTCCAACAACCCAAGGATGACGGATGGGAGCTGTGCATGCCTCCACTCCCCGGTTTCTGCTCCTGGCAGACGTTACTGATCCAACTCATGGCTCTTTCCAGTTGCGTCTGTCTGGTCACGGAACTCTCGAACACGGGACTCCTGGAAGTCATTAGGGGCTGAGTTAAGTTGGAATGGACATGCAAGTGTTTGGCTGCCCCCTATTTAGATTATAATATGGGTGTTAGTGGCAGATCCGGATTTCAATTCTAGGTCTTGATCTTCCCACTGGGAGCCACTGTCCTAAGCACATGGGTGTGGGGAGTCATAAGCCAGAGAGGGGGCCCTGAGGTAGGGGCCCTACCCTTGTACCACCAGCAATGCCTCTGGGCCTCCCTTGACCATCTCAGTTAAAATTATAGTTCCCTCCGCATTCCCTATCTACCCTCTACGTGGTATGTTCCTCCGCGGCACCTGCCATCTAACGTAATAATCTTACTGATTTCTTTTGTTCATCGCCTGTCCTCTAGAACATCAGAATGTTGTCTGTGTTTTCCCTGCTGTATTCTTGGGTGCCTAGAGCACTGCTTGGCACATTTTAGGTGCTTGAGAAGTGTTTGCTGAATCTTTGAAAGAATGAAAGAATGAATGTGAACACCACCCCGAAGAGGGAAGTAGGGCTTTGGAAGTAAATTGAAGAAGCAGAGCTGGGATTTGGAGCGGGCACCTGTAGCCTCTAAGATATGTTAGAATTTTATCCAGATGCATAATAAATGGGCTGTGGATCAGGTTTCCTCCCAGAAGTAAAATGAATGGGTGGTGGTGGGAGGATTTGGTTAGTTCTAGATTTCTGCTGCAAAGTCAGATTTTGTTTCTCTTCTGATTTTTAGCGTTCCAGGTAAGTGAGGTTGTCAGATACAATCATTTGTTCATCCATAAATTTCTCTGACCAGTCATTTCCCAGCAAATAGTCACTGATGTCTCCTGTGTGCCAGGCAGTGCGGTCAGAACGTTGCTGTCCCAGCTGTTGTTCACGGCCTCACCAGGAGATTGGGAGGATGCTGGGAGGGCATGCGCAGTGGCCGCCAGCCCCGCCTGGGAGGCGTGTGGGAGGCTTGTGGGAGGCTCTGAGTCTGGGAGTCCTTGGTTGGTTCTGAAGAATTCCCAGAAAAGGCTGACCCTGAAAGTTGCTTCGGGAGAATGAAGGCTTGGCATTTCTGGTGTTGGGGAACTGCAAGTAGGTGAGCAGAAGGCTAGGGGCTGTGGTGAGCAAGAAGAAAGGGAGGAAGCCTGGGCCAGGTCAAGGAGTGCCTTGCTTATGGTTATTATTATTATTGTTATTATTATTCATTATTATTATTAGTTTAATTGGCGAATGGCAGCAAGAGTCTTTTGAAAAATATGAAGACAATTCTTTTTTTTTTTTTTGAAGATTTTATTTATTTATTTGACAGCGAGAGACACAGCGAGAGAGGGAACACAAGCAGGGGGAGTGGGAGAGGGAGAAGCAGGCTTCCCGCCGAGCAGGGAGCCCGATGCGGGGCTCGATCCAAGGACTCTGGGATCATGACCTGAGCCGAAGGCAGATGCTTAACTGACTGAGCCACCCAGGGGCCCCAGACAATTCTTTTTTTTAACATCACTTTCTTTTTGCTTTACAGCAGGCCCCCAGTAGGGGC